CTAGAAAATGTGACTGCTTAAAAATTCCTATCATCCTAAAATCATAAACATATCCTCTTCTGATATGTTCTATAACAGGGCTGTTGAAAATAGAACCACTGTATGAGCCAGCAATCCCATTCTGGGTATGTTTTCAAAGGAAATGAAAACAAGATGTCACAGAGATTTTCTGCACTCCCATAGTTATTACACTGTTATTTCTAATAGCCAAAATGTGGAAGCAACAGCCTAAATATGTAAACAACCTAAGTGCTTATCAATAAATGAATGGACTAAATATGTGATGTATATATTCAGTCATGAGAGGGAAATCCTGCTGTTTGCAAAAACGTAAAGGTATCTCATGGGCATCATGCTAAGTGAACTAAGAGACAAAGAAAGAAAAATATTGTATGACATCACTTATGTGAAAGAGTAGTCATTACAACAGAGTTCATGAAAAAGATAATAAAGGAATACTAAGAACAACTCTATGTCCACACATTTGATACCATTGATGGAATAGGCCAGTTTCTTAAAAGACACAAACTACCAAAATTCGCACAAAGATAGATAACCCACAAATCTACTAAAGAAGTGGAATAATGATGGCCACCCAAGTGTATATATACATTTGTCAAGATTTGTTAAACTATAGACTTAAAAATGAATGCATTTTAATTTTTGTAAATTATACCTCAATAAATTGATAGGTTAAAAAAGAAAAAAAGTTGTCTACATTTAAAAAAAAAAAAAACCCTTCCAAAAAACAAAGGCCCAAACTCATGTACTTTTACTGATAAATTATACAAAATGTTTAGGAAGAAATAATAATAAGATCCATCATCTCTTACAGCAAATTTCAGAAGTAGAGGGGATACTTCCTACCTTATTCTCTAAGTCCAGAATTACCCTAATATCAATTCCAAATAAACTGATACAAATAATGATTGAATAGATAAATAAATAAGAGAGACTAGACAAATCTACCATACAGAAGAGTTTCCAATAACCCACATAGTGTCTTCTTCCCTCAAGGTGGCATACAGCTCCCCACTCAGTAAGTGTTGGCTGTTCACAGTGACTTCATCTCAGAGAGAACAATATGGGATTCACTGGATGGGGGTTAACGAGTAACCAAGTAACCAGCAGTGGAGAAATCTGACCAAACATTACTTTGGTCAGCTGATCAAGATTAACATCAACACAGCTGAGTGAGGTTGACAGGACATAGGCTGATGTGATTTTGAGAGTGCCAGTTGACCTCTGTGGTCTTCCTCCCCAAACCCTACAACTCTAATTTAATCATCAGATGCCCAGCAGACAATCACAAGTGAGGGGCATTCTACAAAGGAGCCAGCCACCAATCCTCAAACTGGGTAAAGTCATAAGAAACACAGGAAGACAGAGAAACTGTCACAGCTGAATGGGGCTTAAAGAACATGTGCCCTAAATGTAATTATTCTAGACAGGATCCCAGAGCAGGAAAAGGATTCAAGGTCAAATAAGGACATCTGAATGGACTTTAGTTATTGCCTCCATCTTGGTTGGTTCATAGTGACAAATGTACCATACTAACTGAAGATATTAGCAAGGGAAACTTGGTATGGGGTACACAGGGACTCCTGAACTTTTTTTCAAACTCCTAGAAATCTAACACTTCTTTTGTTGGTAAGTATAATATTAATGCTAAAGTGAAAACTTCATTAAAATAAATTAATGGGGAGGGCCTCCCTGGTGCCTAGGGGTTAAATCTCAGCGCTACCACTGGTACAGCCTGAGCTCGATCGCTGGCCAGGGAGCTAACCCACATGGTGCAGGAGACCTCTCTTGTCTCGCCCACTGCTCTTCTTGAGCAGTGTATTTCAGTCGATCTGCCTGTTCTGCTCCCCACTCTGTCTCTGGTGAATCTTCTCACACCTCTGGCCCCACCCCAGTTCTTCTACACAAATACAAATACAATTTAAAATAAAATTAAAGGAGATATGTTGAAAATGACTCTCAAAAATTGGGCTCCAATAAGTGGCTTAATCAACAAACACTTAAGTTCTCCATTTCTGGGTCTAAGAATTCCAAGCTCAAAGCACAGACAGATTTGGTGTCTGGTCGGGCCCACTTCCTGCCCCATGGGTGTGTGTCTTCTTGCTGTGTCCTCACGCAGAGGGCATGGTGCTCTCTAAAGTCTCCTATAAGGGCACTAAGCCCATTCTCCAGAGTGCCACTCTCACCAAATCAGCTCTGGAGGGCCCACCTGTCAAGGCAGGACTGGACATAGGGCAGGTTTTCTAAGCTCCAGCATACTGGGTAAAGGAGGAGTCAGAGTCCTCAGTGGCTTTTTGCAGGTCTTTACTGGGATTTACCCAGTACACAGCTGTCAGGGGCGCTGGGGGACTGAGAGGCTGGCAGGCCTCCCAGCCCCAGCAGATTTTCACTCTGGGCTCTCCGGCTTTCTCTCGGCTTCTGCTGCTCTTGGCTTCTCTTTCAGCTTCTTTCTCTGCTTCTTCTGGCATCCCTGTGACGCCGCCCTTAAAAGCCCAGTCTTAGCCCAGGTGAATCCCATCTACCTATGCCCACACCCTACTCCAGGTGTCCGCCATCAGGCATGCATTCAGGACAAGGATCCATCATCTATCCTGATGGCGGGAGGGCAGAAAAGCCTGACATTTTTCCCCTTACCCTACACCACCTCCTAATACCCTAGAGTAGGGGGTGGTGAGACTTCAACCTATGACTTCTGAAAGACATATTCAGACCATCACACGAGGCAAGTCAGGGATGTGGAAACTACTGAATTCTAATCTGAAACCTCGGTAACCCAAGTGTGCCACCCCATTCACCTCACCTGGGGAATTATTTGAAATTCTTATTCTCGGTCCCCATTTGAGATATATCTGAGCAGATCTTTTACAAGATCTTAGATCATTCAAATGAACTTTTAAGTTTGAGAAGCAAGCACTGATTCAAACCACTGAGCGCCTCAACCTGCAGCATCAGCATTACCTGGGAACTTGATCAAAGGCAAATTATCTGGCTCCATTCCAGATCTTCTGAATCAGAATCCCCAACCTTGGGGGCGGGCCCAGTAATCTCCTTTAGCCAACCCATAATCTTAAATTGGAGAATCATTGGCCCCAGGTTCTTATCCTGTCTTTCTCTGTGAACATCTCCTTTTGAATAAAAAAATTGCTATAATTTATTTATCCCAAGCAGTAAAATCTTTCTTTTTTAAACTTTTATTTACATATTTTATACATCGATGTTCGTTTTTATACAATATCCTATTCCCCTCTAGGGTGTTGTCCCCATAAAATTACCACCACCAGGACACCTGTGAACTTGTGCTTGTCCCTCAATTTTAAATCACTTAGCACATATGATATTTAGCGCCATCCTTCTACTTCTAATGTTACTGAAGCAGGGGGTGGGTGAAGAAGACACTGATCAAAACAAGGGCACAACAAGGGCATAGCTGCACCTATGGCAAGAACTGGAGAATTTCCTTGTAGGGTAAGGTAAAAGAATTAGGCTTTTCTGCCCTCCCGCCATTAGGACAGATGAGGGAACCCTGTGGTCCTGAATGCATGCCTGATGGCGGGCACCTGGAGTGGGTACACCTGGGCTGAGAGACTGAGTTTTTAAGGGCGGCGTCACAGGGACACCAGCAGAGGTCAAGAACAAACGGAAGCCGAGGGAAGAAGAGAAGCAGAGAGAACCCCAGAGAGAGCCCAGATAGAGTGAGGATTTTGCCTGCCATATGCCTGGTAATCTAAATAAAAGCCTGCAAAAGCCACTGAGGACTCTGACTCCTCCTTCACCCTGTCTGCTGGATCAGAAAACCTGCACCGTACCCATCTTGCTCCTACATTCGTTTTTTGTTTTTTGCCCAATCTGGAGACCCAGTATAAAGATTCTCTAGTTGGATGAGCACAAAAGTCATATGCTGATTGGCCATAAAGTGTCTTTAGAGACTAATCCACTGTTCTTCAAAAGCTACTCCAGTAAAAGTGTTACTCCCACATTGACTTCTACATTTTAAAACACCGCCACCTCTGAAAAACGTTTTTTTTTTAAATAATTTTATTTTTATATTCCCCATACAATTGCAGCCCCCCCCCATTCTGACCCCAATCCCTCCCCTTATTTACTTATGCATACAAGAACTGGGGTAAAGGCCAGAAATGTGGGGGGGGGTGAGAGAGAGCGAGAGAGAGCGAGGGAGAGAGAGAGAGAGAGAGAGAGAGAGAGAGAGAGAGAGAGAGAGAGAGAGAAGATTCACCAGAGACCAGAGACAGAGCGGGGAGCAGAACAGGCAGACTGATGAAACACACTGCTGAGGGGAGCAGCGGGCGAGACAGGAGAGGTCTGCTGCGCCATGTGGGTAGCTCCCTGCCTGGCTGGGGATGGAACTCGTGCTGCTGAGGCTGCGGCTAGCTTCACAGTGCGGTGCTCAACCCCTTGCGCCACAAGGAGCTTTCCTTGATGACCGTCAGAGCCAGGCCAGCAGGGTGGGCGGGGGCCTGAGCCTCCTCAAGGAGCAGGAGAGGACGCGGCTCCGGGGGAGTTTCACCCGCTCCCAAGCGGAGGACACGCCGCCCGCCCCGCCACCCCCTTCCGCGGCGGGCGCCTGAGGGGGGCGGCCCAGGGGACCGAGGGGGCACTGGGGCCGTGGCGCCCGTCGGGGCAGAGCCAGAGACTGGGAGTCCCGTCCGCGCTCAGCCGGGACGCCCAGGGCGCAGCCCGCGCGGGCTCCGGGGCCCTGGGCCGCGAGGGGCCGCCAGGGGGCGCCGGGGCCGCGGGAGCCGCCGGCCTTTCCCCGCCCGGAGCGGGCCGCGGCGCGGGTTCCGGGTCCTGTGACCGTCAGGCGGCGCGGGCGCGCGCGGGGACGTCGGGGCGCGCGCGGGGACGTCGGGGCGCGCGCGGGGACGTCGGGGCGCGCGGGGGACGTCGGGGCGCGCGCGGGGACGTCGAGGCGCGCGCGCCGGAGCGCGGCCGACGGCGCCGGCGGGTAGCAGCGGGGCCGCCGCGCGCTGATGGCGGGCGGGGGAGCGGGGGACCCGGGCCGGGGGGCGGACGCCGCCGCCGCCGCCCCCGAGAGCCGCGAGCACCTCTTCAAGGTGCTGGTCATCGGCGAGCTGGGCGTGGGCAAGACCAGCATCATCAAGCGCTACGTGCACCAGCTCTTCTCCCAGCACTACCGCGCCACCATCGGGGTGGACTTCGCGCTCAAGGTCCTGCACTGGGACCGCCGGACGCTGGTGCGCCTGCAGCTGTGGGACATCGCGGGTGAGCGGCGGGGGGCGCGGGGGGCCTCCGCGGGGGCTTCCCCGCCCTGGGGAGCCGGGCCCACTCGGAACCTCGGGCTCCTGGTCCCTTGGCCTGTCCTCGGCCCGAGTCGCCGGCCTGGGCAGGCTTGGGGGAGACCGAGGCCCTGGGGAGACGCCCGGGGGCGCCACCTCGTCAGAACTGAGGAACTTCAGGCGGGACGCGAGCGAGAAACGCGTCCAAAAATCACCCCGGGGATGCCTCTGCGACTCCGGGGGAGCGCGCTGGTTTCTGAGGGATGGAAAGGAGGCGCTCTGGCGCCTCGGGTGCCAAGTGCGAAGGCCTGGAGGACTTTTCCAGAAGTTTTAGCTGAGTGTTGATGAGCGGGTGACCCACGGGAGGGCCAGGGGGAGGGGGCGCCCCGCCGCCGCTGCTCAGCTTTAACATCTCAGGGATGAGGACTGAAGCTCAGCGCCGTGGGGTGACTCACCCCGAGTTACTCTCCTAGTTAGTGGCTCAGCCTAGGCTAGAAACCACTAGAAACCGCTAGAAACCACTCTTCCTGCAGATTGCTTTTTAGCACCCACTACTTTGGGGTGAATCTCTGTTCTTCCAGCACCTTGTACATCGCCAGAGCAGGTCGCCCGGGTGAAGATTGGGGAGAGTTTCTCTCTTAAACTCCTTGATCCCTCCCCATGTAAACACCTAATCCTACACTTGCATCTACACCCCACGCCCCAAATGTATTGTTTCCCTGGGATTTTTTTTTTTTTTTTTTTTTTTTTTGGTCATTCTGGAGCATAATATCCCTCTTTCAGGGAATCCCTCTTCTCCTTGCTCTAATTTATAGGGACTCGAACACTGGTTGCTGTGGTAGCCAGGGGAGGGCTGCAGATGCCTTATGAGGCAAAGATGGTGACTGGAAAGTTGAAATATGAAGTGGTACTAAAAGTTACCCTGCTTGGTTATGTTGGTGTCAGAAAGTCCTCTGCAGTGGAGCATTTGATTAGGCACGTGGTCAGGGCTGGAGAGACCATCCTTCATCCGACAGAAGCATGGGCTAGAGCCTGTGGGGGGGAATGGCCCACCACCATCCTGGCAGCAGAGTGTGCAGCGGGTGGGGCTGGGTAGACACAGGCCAGTCTGCTAGGCAATTCTCTTTTCAGTAACAGCTTATTACATGTGAGAAAGTGCTGAAGAATTATAACCTCTGTACTCATTTATTTAAGACTTCTGTACCTTAGATTGAGAAAGGATTTGCTCATGTTCTTCCTTCAGAAAATGGGTAGGGTAATCAGCCTTGGGCTCAGCTTTTTATTTCTTCAGGTTATAGAATACCAAAAGTTCGTTTGAAAAGTTATCTTTTGAAGTCAGAGGCTTCTTTCAAAACTTCCTGCTGTTTCACACAGCACTTAAGAACAGCAGTATTGCCTCCTGACAAGCCATGGATTCTAAAGGTTGCCTTAACATGTGATGGTCATTCCCCAGGAACCTGAAATGCAGCTGTGGATTTCCAGGACAAGATGATTTTATAAACCCTTAGATGATTTTATAAAGATGATTTTATAAAACCTAAGAGGTTTCTCAACTTTGCCTCCATGTACAATAATGTGGTATCTAGGGATTAAGTTCTGAGTGGGTCCCACTGCCCATAGGTCAATGAGTAAGTTTAATTAGATTTTTCTGATACAGCTGTGTTTTTGAGTTTCAAGGGAAAACACTTGTATTTGCACACCCAAAAGCATGGGTGAGAGTTGTCCTGGGTATAATCTTTTCCACTTCTTGAACAGATCTGTGCAGCCAGGAAGAGACATGTTGGCTTTTTAGCAGGCTCCAGTGTGCCGAGGTGCCTTTTGGGCACTTTTCTCTAAATTCCAAGCTTGGGTGTTGCCAAGCAGGAAAACAGAACTTTAAGATCTCCTAAAGAAATTCCTGGAGATTACATACCATTCAGCACATGCACACCAGCAGTGAACAAGGTTAGAGGTAATCTTATGCGGTAATTGGAAATTATTAGGCTAAAATTAAAGTTTTAGGAGATGGCATCCTAATGTATAAGGAAGTTGAGACAGAAAAAGAACTTTAGTTTTAATTTAAGGCTTAGGGATGTACATCATTAACTGTGGTTAGTTTGAATATTTGAGCTACTAGTGAATCCTACTGCATACCATTTGAATTAAGTAATGATGTAATGAAGGCAAATCGAAAGCTCCACCGCAAAAAATTCCCCCATGACTAAACATATTTACCTTACATAGTAACAAAGTAAAATGGTATTTAATTTGTAAAGGTTAGAAATATTCCTTGATGGTAAAACAGTAGGTCGAGCTGGCCACTTGATATAGGACTAACTTAAGGTGTGGTGATCGTTTTTGTTGTTGCTGCTTTGGGGATTGGAAAGTTATAAAATTGCCTCCAGTCTCTATTTGAAAACTGGCCTGTGTGACAGGCAAGAATTTTCCAATTTTTTTTTTCTGTATAGTCAAACAGTTTAGCTAAACTTAAAATTTAAATTAAGAACCATGTGACTCTTCCTTATAGGCCTTGCAATCCCTTCTTACTGCATGAAATGAATGTAGGTTGAAGATGCAGATACAGTTAGGTACAATTGCTGCCTCTTAATTCAAGCCTGCTCTCAGACTGCTGCTCAAAACATAACTGAAATACACTAAAATATGGAAGTCTTTAAGATTCAAAGAGAATTTGATAAATGCATAGTAAATTAAGGTGAAGCAAAAGAGTTACAGTTACAGTTACAACATCCTTATAGTTGATGTTGTGTTTGGCTTACAGATTATTATAAGCTTTTTAGCAATTATAGAATTTTCCCAAGAAGTTGATGGCTACTTTAGGCTACGTATTAAAAAGAAAAAAGTGTGTCCACTTAGATCTAATGTAACTTAGTCTCATGTATTCATGGAAATGATTTGCTTTTATAGGGAAGTCAAAATTTTACCTCAGTCTTCTTAAGAGGTTTTAGCTGGTTCTAAGAATTAAATGATTGTAAGACAAATTAACAGGAGGGCCTCCCTGGTGGCACAGCAGGTTTAGCGCTACGCTGTGAAGCTGTTCGCAGCCTCTGTGGCGCTGGTTCGATTTCCAGCTGACCAGGGAGATTCCCCCCTGGCGAAACAGACCCCTTCTGTCTCACCTGCTACTCCCCTCTCTCACCCATCTGTGCCTCTGGCCTGTACCCCAGTGCTTGTATAAATATATCTTAAAAAAAAAAAAAGACATTAACAGGAGCAAAGCTTACAAATATATGAAAGGATTAGGTGACACAGGAGCCCTCATAAGGAACAAAGACCCCAAAAAGTGGCAAAAACTAAATGCTTTTAAAAAAGGTTGGATGGGGCCTCCCTGGTGGCACAGGGGTTAAGACGCAACCTATAAAGCTATCCACAGCCACTACAGCACGAGTTCGATCCCTGGCCAGGGAGCTACCCACATGGTGTAGCAGACCTCTCCTAACTCGCCCGCTACTCCCCTCAGCAGTGTATTTCAGTCAATCAGCCTGTTCTGTTCCCCACTCTGTCTCTGGTGAATCCTCTCACCCCGCCCCCACACACATACACCTCTAGCCTGTACCCCAGTTCTTGTATGCATAAATAAATCTTAAAAAAAAAAAGGTTGGATGAAGAGGGGCAATTATGGAATAGTAACTGAAAAATATGGGGAAGTCAAGGTAAGGGAAGAGTTATTTTCACAAGGTTCCTTTGTATAGAATTTTCTCAACATGAGCTCTTCATCCTGCATGGTCAGAATGCTGGTACTGGGAGGGCAACTTTCACATGGGAAAGTTTTCTTCCCCTGGTTTGGGGAAGAAAAGGGGGGACCAGAGCACCTTTCTTGCTTCTGCTGTTTTCCCAGTGCCTTTGATTCAAATTAGTCCTTATGCCATAGTGGCATTTGGGGGGGGTAGCATACTTTGCCACCCTTCACTTTTTAGTATCCAATTTTTGTTATAAAAATCTGGATGAGTGACACCCTGTTGGCCCAAAGAGCCAAATCAGAACAATCTTCCTTGAAGTTCATATAAATATTATTTATCTAAGCATAAAATACATTTCGGGAGACATTAAAAATTCTGCAAACTATATGTAGATTCACTTTCTGTTTCATTGAGTGCCATCCTACATTAGAATGCTGATGCCGATTTCCTTGCTGCATCTAACACATTGCCTATTTCCATACCTGTTCTCTTCTTGTCTTCTGTCATCACTCTCCTAAAAATCCTCATGAGCAAAAATCTGGAATATAACCCTTGACCAAGGTATCTGTCAGTCATAGATTAATAATATTCAAGTTACCTCTTAATATGAAGAAGCAGTACTTTGAGGAATTATTCTGGGGAGTTATTTGTAGTCTGTTTTATTTTTTTAGAAGATTTATTTATTTATGCATACAAGAGCTGGGGTGTAGGCCAGAGGTGTGGGAGGGTGAGAGGATTCACCAGAAGAGTAGGGAACAGAACAGGAGGATTGACTGAAATACACTGCTGAGGGGAGCAGCGGGCGAGACAGGAGAGGTCTGCTGTGCCCTATTGGTTAGCTTCCTGGCCAGGGATCGAATTCCTGGGGAGTGGTTGCCGATAGCTTCACAGTGCTGAGACTTAATCCCTTGTACCATCAGGGAGGTCCTATAATCTCTGTTTTAAGCACTGAATACTGTAATAACTTTCCTAGCACTTATTGGTAGCCTTGTTTAATAACTCATTAAAAGAATTTTTGAAATCTTTACTACCTGAGTTGTGTACATTTTCACTATACTTAGTCTTATTCTAGCTCAGTTGTGCTGAGTTACAAGCAAAACCCACTCTTCTACTTTACATCTTTAAATCTTTCTTAGCTAGTGCATCCTAGACATTTTGGGTGTTCCAGTCTGGCCTGTGTATTCGAAATGGCCCGGATAGGATGACCAGCAAAAATAGCATGATTGTGTACTGTGCGTGGGAACTCCCCTGACAATGATATGTTCCTTCTTTCCTTTTTGGATTCACCATTCTTAGTTGCCTCACTTCT